TAAGTACAGTATGGCTGCCACTGACTGACTTTTTAATTTACAAACAACGCTACATCACACGTTTATAATAATACATATGATAAGATGCTGTAAATAATCCAGCACCTCTTAAGTAATTTCTGTTTCTTTCTGTTCTCACTTTGTAGTCAGTGTAATTGTTCTTTTTGTACTTTTGTACACGAAACTAAATTATAATGCTGTTTGTCACACATTTTACCTTCATCAAATAATTACAATAAAGAAAATAATTGTTTTTTCCAATTTGGATATTTCAATTTCGATAATATTGTGATTAAAGATGTTTTTTGACAAACTATTTCCTAGGTCAAGAATGAATTTTCCCGCCCCAAATATTTTAATATATTTTGATTAAAGCCTACATTCAGAACATGTTGGCATAATGCTCAGTAGTAATAATAATACTAATCATTCCAATTCTGTGAAGGTCCAGCACAGTGTGGTTAAGATAAAACAACTGCACGTACTTGATCTTGTCCATGTACTCCTGCGTGTTCTGGTTGGTCATGTTGGAGGGGCTGATGTGGAGCTTGAAGTCGGGCCCAAAGTACTCAAAGTAGTCATTGTATGGCAGCTCTGCAATAGAAACATTGTTGGTAAAAGTAAGCAAGGTGAACACAGCTGGAAGAGATTTATACACCGCAGATAAAACAAAGTGCCAAATTATGGGCCATTTGGATTGAAAAAGTAGCGATAACACACCTGTTAATAAGTTTTAGTGAGGCTTTATAACACACACTGATCCTCGCTGAGGGGATGAGAGGGGAGGTCAGTTAATGTCCTGAAATTCCATTAAGAGAACTGCTGGCCCATTCGACAGGCTGTGATTACATCCCCTCTCTTTATGTTACACACACTCAGTGGAACAGACAGTCTGCTGAGTCAGCTCCCTGCGAGGAAAAGGTAGCAGTCGGGCTGCCCCTTTCTATAACATTCCCTCACAGCCAACCCCAAGATGCCCATCCCTTCCATTAATCATCAGCATTAGGACTTCTCAGTGATTTCAATTTAAAAACTAATGCACATCAACAAAAATGAGTCTCTACTACAATGGTTCAATATTCTCCCACAGGCAGACACATAATGACTCATTTGTGCACACAAATGCATAACTTGGAGACACAAATTGACAGAATATAGCATTAAATCTGCTGTTTATATTTGAACATATGCTTGAGGGATGTCAGACAGAATCTAATTTAGATGAGATGCTTGTATTTGATTTAATTCAAAACCACAGGTTATTCATTTGTATTATGGTTGGGCGATTGGAAGAATATATCGGCTTTCGTTTTTTTCGGGGGGGGGGGGGGGTTTGTGCTAAATTAATGGTAATGGTCTTTCCCTGAACAATGGACAGACTAATAAAGCCAGTTTTATTTTGACTGTGTTGAGTTTGAATGAAGTGTGTTTAAGATGAGCTGGCGCAGCACACGCACATACAAATAGTTCGGCAATTGCTGGTTGTTGGACAGACGGGTCAGAACATCTGAACATATCACCAAACCCTAGAGGGGAAACATATTATTCACTGCCTACAGTTTTATATTATGATTCTTGTCTGATATGATTATCTTGATTGAAGATTTTGCTTTGTTTCAGTGAAATAATGATTTTTATTTCAATTTCAGTTTCAACAGTTCAGGACTCTGCATCTATCCTGTGAAGGAAGTCTGCAGTAGTGCTAGGATCAGGGAGGTTTGCTGTAAGGCTATATCACCATTATCTACTGCTTATCAGAACACATCCCTGACATTAATTGCTATTTATTAGACATGGAATCTGTGACCAACCATCAGGGATGTCTGTATCCAGAGCTACCGCAGTCTCGTAGGTCCAGCAGCGGGCCACGTTGCGGATGGTGTATCCTCCTCCGCCCAGCATGAGCAGCGGGAGGTTGAAGGACTTCATGTACTCCACACACTTGGCATGGCCTGGTAAAAAAACAGGGAGGGCACAATATAACATAGCACATCCAGCATAGTCATTGAGCATCAACTGCTGTGTGTCTGTACCGCGGATGGTGAGGTTAAAGCAGCCAAGGCGGTCCCCTGAGAGAGAGTCCGCACCGCACTGGAGGACCACAGCGCTGGGCTGGTACATCTCCATCACCTTGGCCATCACCTGCAGGGCCACGGCACAAAGTCACACTCAGGAAGCGTTCAAAGATAGTGTGGGGTTACTGTACTTACATGGAGAGAAGCAATCTATTGAAATGTAAGCATTGTAGCAATGGTAGGGGAACTTTCTCTTTTTTGTATCATGTCAAAAAACAACTCATTGCTGTGCATGCATTTCTCAACCAAATCAAACAAATCTGATCAGTTATAGGCGATATGCATGTACATATGACCTGAGAATTCTGTTCTTAAATACAGAAAAATGAGTTTGCTTCGTGTCCGGTAATACTTTGAGTTTACAAAGGCGATCTGAGTGAGACCTAAAATACAATAAAACATTTCCAGGAATATTTCCAGGATATTTGGCCATTTGAATCAATTTCCTGGTGTTTCAATGACTAGAAAACTAGTGCATGGGAACCTTGGTATGCTCATTCATTTGCATACAGCTTAGTAGTTGTGTCAGTCGCAGTGAGGGAGACCTCACATTTAGACAAATACAATGGTAGATAGAGAAATCTTTACCCTAACCACATTACAGAGACGCTGAACATTTGAAGTAAAAAAGTTTTTAAAAAGTTTAAAAAGGGATGAAGATCAAACAAACTATTTAAATATATACAAGCTACATGAACATCTTAATCCAGAGATTTCGAGAGAAAGAGTGAGACAGAAGCATCTACTGCTGCCTGTTTGCACAGAGAGGGAGAGGAAGAAGAGCTGTGCAGCATGCATAGGAATGAGTTACAATGTAATATATTTGAATATATTTCTCTTCTCGCATTTTCCCCTGACGGTTTAAGTCGCTAAATCTGTCGCCAGTTGCTTTTTAGAAATAAAGTTGCAAAGAGCCGAATAACACCAAATCAGGCTTTGCAGCAAAAACACCCCTTCACCTATTCATCTGAGTGGGGGCAGAGCGTTTAGGCTGCAGCGCTGGGGGGGCGAAAAATACAAAACGCAGCAACCTGCAGCAGAGAAATTGAAAAGAATCAACTTTTGGTGAAACACAATCCGATGTCATACTGCGGTGGCCAATTCAGCTATCAAATGTGCAACTGCTCCACAGTCAGCCTGAAATATCCCTGAAACAGCAGCCATCCAGGCTGAGTTCAAGGACCAAACAATGGGACAGAGAGGGAGCGTCGGTAGGGAGAGAAAGCCAGTGTATCAGAGAAATAAAACCTTACTTTCTCATTGTTTCACAGCGGTTACACCCTAAAGCTCAAACAAACACCATCACTAATAGTTGAACTGCTATCACAGGGCTGCTCTCTCTGCTGCCACTGCCACCGCTCGCTAAGCTCAGGGGGCTGCTGTTAGTTAAAAGTAGATTTTGAACTTCGACCCCATCAGACAGAAATCCATCGTAGTGAACTTTAATCCCTGCTCCTTTTCTGTATTCCCTTCAATCCAACTACTTGGGTGCATTCTCATCAGAATGTCTTATGGAGATTTAATCGTAAATGACTCCTCTAGTAACACTAGCAACTCTAGCAAGTTGTAAAAATTAATTAAACAGTTTTTTCCAGAGCTGATGATGGAAGTACCTAAGGAGCGAGCCATCTCGGGCTGCACATGATCAGTACTGATCGGGCACTCAGGAGAGGGCGGAAAAGAGAGAGTCTTAAATCAAGTTTCCTTTAATGCCGACTCTTTCAGCTCTGCTTTGGTTCCGACCAACCCCTGAGAAAAATGTCTGAATCTTTTTAGCTGCTAAATGTTAGAAGATGCTAAAATGCTCTGCAGAGCTGAGGGGAACTGGAAAATTGTCACTACAACTAATACCTTTCACACACACACACACATAATGACTGTGTATATCCTTAAAACAAAGATATTGTTTAGTGCAGCTCATAACCAGTGTCAGGTCCTGCAATACAAACCAAAGTCACTCAGGACGACTCAGGTATAAGAATATAATCTTCGTCTGAGCAAATGTGACTAAATTGTGTTTCATGATGGATGACTAACTCATGTCACCAATAATTGCAGTGTAATGTTAAAACCAGTCCAGTTCATGATTAGCGTCACTCACCGGCTTGAAGATTTGCTCGTATGACTCATCATCAATGCCGTCACGCAGGGGGAAGTTGACAGCGTAATATTTGCCTTTTCCAGCTCCGATATCCTAAATACAGAGAGGGACCACGCAGTAGGAGACACAGAAACAGACAATGATGTGAATACTCATATACTGTCAGTGTGTGCTGCTCCATTTAAGTCTACTTGAATGCATATAAACTCCCCACACAAACCATTCAATGTGTTTCTTTTTTCATGAACAGATTCTTTCTTGTTTTAATTATCTAAGTGAAGACAGAGGCAGAGGCTCACCCTGAGGTCTCCGGTTCCAGGGAAGTACTCCCCGTATTTATGGAAAGACACGGTCATGACCCTGTCTGTGGTGTAGAAGGCCTCCTCTACTCCGTCCCCATGGTGGATGTCTATATCAATGTACAGCACCCTCTGGTGGTACCTGAGAGAAAGGGAAGGCACAGACAGAGCTGAGATAAGCACAAACGATACAGTGTTTGCCTAATGCTGGATTTTCAAGAGAAACAACCTGCAAATCAGGGCTCCCAGACTTTGTGTGGAAGGGAAATTTCTCAAGCTAAAGTAAAAACTCACTTGAGCAGCTCCAAGATGGCCAGCACAATGTCATTAACGTAGCAGAATCCAGAGGCTTCAGACTTCTTTGCGTGGTGAAGTCCTCCGGCCCAGTTCACTGCGATGTCAGTCTGCTGTCGGTTTAACTTCACTGATCCAGCTGTGCACAACAGAAAATGTTTAGTGAAAAGTCCCCCTCCTCTCAAAACTATGTTTTTCTTCTTGTTCCTACAGTGTGATGTTTGAGCTTCACTGTGCAGAATGATGTATGTGCAGAGTTTGACACATTCATCTGCTGAAAGTGGAAAGTTTCACATCAGACGCACTTTATTGTTCCAGACTATTTATATTTGTCTTCATACATGTCTGGAGGGGAAGAGTGTTTTAATAGATAAATACATGACCAACACTTCATCACAAGTATGACAGATCTAATAGGGTCTATCTTACTCATTTCCAACTAGATGTAAACATTGGTTAGTGTACTGAATGACAATAATGGCATTATGTTCACATTAACTAGCACAACAAGTTATCATGCATTCTCAACTGGTTCTAACATACTGGTTATTTAGGTTTACTGTTGCCACAAAATGTGGGATAAAACTCATTCATGTTGGCCTGAAACCATTGTAAGCTGTGGTATCCATCCACAGTTTACAAAGTATTCCCTGACTTCCTTTCAGCCAGAAGACTTTAGTGGATGGGTCATTACATTGTACTACTCCTCCAAAAAGGAGCAATGGCAGCCTGCTAACCAATCAATAACGCTTCCATCATTAAAGCTCCTGTATAACTCATTTCCCAACCTGCCTCTCACTAAGAGCGACACAACTTATTCAATTTGGCTGTTAAATTCTAAATAAGTAACAACACATGATACACTTTGAACAACTGTACCTGTGATCTGTTACTTTGGACTCAAAACAGAGATTTTAGGGGCTTTAATGTCAGAAATGTTTCTGTTAGCATTTTTATTATAGTTCATAGATCTAAATAATTAATATAAATTCATTTCTTAAAAGATTTAGATTTCAAAAGCATGGTACTCACTCTGTGTTGATAGCTACAGAGTCCCAGACAGACACACACACGCGCACACACACACAGGCACACACACACACACACACAAGGGCTCCTCTCCACTTTGCTCTGAACAGGGACAGTGATGTAGCGACAGTGTGAATACTATAAATGATGACCTTGTTATAATGATGTTACACTCATTTGTATAACTAATGAATCACTGTAAAATGTGACATATTCTATTAGAAACATTTGAATATAACAAAAAAATGATAGAAGGCTAGCAGTAAAAATGTGGTTTGTGTCCCCAGTAGTGAATATGAAAGTCCATTAACTGTCTTAACGTCTATGTTCTTCTGTCTTACCAGCAGAGCCACCAGCGGACAGTTGGCAGAACTCGAACAGGCCATCGAACACGGGACAGTCCTCTCCGACGTTGACTGCAAGATTAGGAACAATGATTGATCTGTTAGTGATGTAAGCACAGTAAACTACTGTAAACTGTCCTCATAAACTAAATACATTTAGGCTTTGGAGTGTCCATCAGACAAAACAAGGCATTTTGAAATCCTAAGCCCTTGGACAATAAACAGTGCCCTACTGAGAACCCTATACCCAATGGTACCTTGTTTTCAGGACTTTATGCTCTCTCTTTCATAACAACATAAACATAATTTAAGTTGTAAAAAAGAAGTCCAAACTCCTGTCACTACCGCAGTGCTTGCCGACGGTAAGCGGTATGCTATTCACACACTACTGATTTCATACCAAGGATTCAGACATACTATCAACATACTGTCAAGCTGATCAGCACACTTGCCAACCTCCAGACATCAGAGCCTGAATCAGTAGAGCGAACCTAACCCGGGTATCTTCCCAATTACACTCATATTAACCTAATAATGACCTTAAATTGGAAATCATGAGAACGTTTTTTCACTCACTCCTGCCTCCACACGGTGCAAAAGAGAGGGACAGACACTGACTCTGGTCTGTCTGTCTGTCAGCCAAGACGGTGAGAAACGCCCTGTTAGCTCAAGCAACAACTGATCCAACTAGCTAATTAATTACCTGAAGATGTCTGAAGTTTCGTCTAGAGGGTTAAACTTTGGTGCTGGCTAACGTTAGCTACGGCTGCTGCAGGGGGACTAGCTTTCAGGCTATCAAACATGGTAACTTTGCACTTTTCAGTGTTCAGATATGTTATGTATTTGTGTCTCCACAGGTCAGATGTGTTGCCCTGGCCGGCGTTGTTTTTTGCTTGCAGTGCCCTGACTCACTGGGACTTAAACCCTCATACTTACACCGCTGCATCTGCTTGCTGAACTCGGACATGTTGTCCGGCCGTATGGTTCGGAGGAACTTGATGTAGTCATCGCTGTGATATTTTGTCATCTCCTCTGCCGTAGCTTTGTGTGGTCTCTGAAAAACACAGAAGAAAAGCAGCTGGGTAAAAAGTTGGGCAGAAAAGAGGAAGACGGCGGCCACATTCATTTTTAATTAACATCTCACATTCCGTACAATCAGTACAGCACACAATAAAGGATGTTAGTAAATAATTTAGTGGTTAGAGGCATACATAGATCTCCATTTTCCTGTACAGTCCGTAGTTCAGAAGCAGGTTATGAGTCATCCGGATACGATGTGGTTTCATGGGATGCCCTTGTCCATAGTAATAATTTCCGATGTCTCCTGCAAAGGGAAATACAGTAGAGTTTAGGACCGTATTCACAAGCAAAAAATCTAATATCACCATATTTTTGAAAGAATGCCTAAATATAAGTACTGTGACAACATTTTATGCTGACTAGAGGGGCTCTCAGAATGCATTTACATGTGATAACGTTTTGAGAATGAATAATCAGCCATATGGATATGCAGACTGAGGGGCTTAGAGACATTGTTGAAAAAGACACATCATATTACATTTAAAATGTTGCTTCATGTAATAATATTGACATTGTATTACTATATTCCAAATGCTAATGAGCGCTTCCATGTCCTCAAATGACTTCATTAATGACATTGCTATTGGCTGTTTCTGTGCTAAGCTAACTTCACCTCTCCCTCTCTTGTCTGTCTTAGAACATCCTTTACGTTGTCTTGTATGTTAGGTCTGTCATGCGTGACTGCACCCGTCTTGACGTTGGGAAGGCATGCAATAATGTAAAACATTATAATTTTCCTCAAATGCATTCAACCTAAAGTCACACGTTTTGAAAATGTAAGCAGTAGAAAGTACAGATATTTGTGTAAAAGTGTAGAGTAGTACAGTAAAAAGTTGCTTGGCTCCAGTTTTTAGCAGATTTTACTCAAACAGGAGGAAACAGTGCTCTTTCAGCATGAGAACAAACATGTCATCAGAAATCCAGCATGTAAGGTGAGTTTCCCAGCACTATGTCCACACTGACAGTTGGGTCATTATAAGTGTTACATAACCAACTCTATCCGACTGCTAAAAACAGCAAGTGACACTTTAGGGCACTGCTCCATTGTAAATGAAAAGGAAAGCCAGCTCAGCAGATACTGTGATTAATTATGTCCTCATTGACCTGAAGTGCTGAGTTTAAAAATAAGTGATTCCTCAGTGGGAGGTACACTGAGGGTCAGGGCTGCTTCCTCTGCTGTGAAATGCTGCTCATCTGGACGCACAGAGCCGTAAACACTCACTGTTACGCACCAATTAGACCTGAGCGTGAAACGGTTCGCTTTGTGCCTTCAAAAATATAACTTTGACTCCCTGGGTGTAAAGTTTGCCATCATTTTCATCTATTCTTCCAGGTCGGTACGAATCACCCGGTGCGCAAATCCTGGCCCGCGGTTGCAATTACTGCCCAAACAAATATGATAATGAGTGCTGGGATTAAGCACCTCCACGTCTAGCTAATTAAAACATGAACTTATCATTATCTTACGTTATTTTTTTACACTCTCACTCTCTACGTGATGTTCAACGTGCAGATAATATTAGCTACAAGCTTTGTTAACCAATTAACACGTACGGTGACACTAGTTAGCACCGCGGAGGCCATTCAAGCGATGTCATTAACGTTAGCTCGCTGGTTAGCTGGCTAGCTTGCGTTAAACACCAGCAGCACCAGCTCAACAGACTAGCTAACCGGCTAGCGTTAGCCTGCCTCGTTCAGACATTCAGGATGTCCCGTACCGTCATAGTAGTAGCAGACCTTCTTCTTAGTGCCACCCGCAGTCGTGTAAGCCATGTTTGGAGCACTTTTTCAAAAAGTTGGTTTGAATTTGGTTCAGCAGATAGAGGTGAGGATGGACGGCATCCAGAGAGGAGAGCGCACGACGGAGCGGAAGAGCGGTGGTGAATGGGAGGCGCAACTGTACCGGGGCGGGGCGGCCAGAGAGGAGCCCCGGACCCTGGACCCTGGACCCCGGACCCCGGGTATCAGACAGTGGAGAGGATGAGACTAATTCATACTGCTGCAAAAACCGGATGGGTACATTAGTTTTTACTGTATGTGACTGCATCAGACTGGTTTTAAACTGCTTTAAAGCTGCAGTAAGTCATTTTTTATTAAAAATGACAACATTTTTACATTTTTATAAAGAATTACGTTATCATATTCACTGAAACTGTCACTATATCCTGACAGTAGAACATGAGACAGATTATCTGTAAAAGAAACCAGGTTCCTCTGGTTCCTCCTAGTGCTCCTAGTAGTATTTGTAAGAATGTGCCAATCAGAGCCAAGAAAGATTGATTGGTGACTCTCATTCCCAGGTTATCAAAAAGAGACCCTAGGATTGAAACTGAACAGTTATCTGTCTGTAATACACCAACCCAAAGTATCTTTCTCGGCTCTGATTGTTTGTTTTTGTTCAGGACCTCAATACCATTAGGATCACTGTCTCATGTTCTACTGTCAGGACATAGTGAAAGTTTCAGCAAATATGACAAAAACTTATTTTTATAAAGGCTACCTACTGAAGCTTTAATAAGGGATTCCAATGGGGGAAAACATGACAGATAAGCTGTATTGAAGCCCCCCTCCAGTCAGAAATCAGTGTTTCCTTCTGTTCCTACAATTTATGTTTGAATGCTGTCAGCAATGAAGTTTGACTCTAGAAGGATGTTTTCACATTCATCTGCTGAAAGTAGAAAGTTCTTTGAAAAGCAGATTTTAAGGGGTGGGGCCTACCAGCAAGACTTGTGACATCACAGATAGTTTGGAAGTCAGTCCTGGGGTTCCAGTATGCCAACTGATGCTACCAGTGTGATGTAGAAACTTGAAGCCACCAGTGCACATCCACTGAGAATGGACTTTACAGTGAAGTAGGAGACATCTTGTGTCCAGCAGGAAAACTTTTGAAATTTGGAAATTATACCTTCTTTTTTTTTTGCAAAAAACCCTCAACAAATGATCAGACTATGCTTGCCATGCTTTACGCAGAAAATAATGAATACCACTTCCCAAGTGGCTTCAACAAAAAGTAGTGCTCTGACACAGAGCACTTACTGCTCTGACACAACACTAGGTGTCAGCATCATCTTTGTTACATTCTGGTCTACCACAACAAGTGAAACTGTAAAAAACTATATGACAGAACATTGTCCCGAAAACAAAACAGTAATCCTGCACTGAAATTCTACCCTGTTTCAGGTTTGCTGTGTGTTAAAAATCATGTGATTATTTGATTAAACCTAAATGTATTATGCACAGTATGAGCACAATATCAAGTAATAAAATACAATTCTTAAATCCAGATTTTGACATAGGGCCCTGTAAAAGACAGAGCCTTAAAATAAGGTCAATAGCAGGAGCCTTTGGTCCCCCATCATTCCAGTCTCTATTGTGCTGTACTGGTGGCTTAGTTGGACATAAATTAAATTTGAATTAAAGGTTCCGTGTGAAGTTTTGATTGCTATAGAGCTGTTTTTTGATGAGTGGGTCATTATGTTGTTTATCTTGTGCTCATGCACAACATGCATGTGCAAGCACAGGTAGGTGATGCAATACTACCAATAGTGTCATACTAACGCCCGCAGTTCTCAACCTGGGCTCCAGGGACCCTCAGGGCTCCTTGAAGGGGAAAAATTTGAAGTATTATTATGATTATGAACTATTCTGTTCATAGGTTTTCACATACAGTAGGTGCCAATCTACATCTCTTTAAACACCTCTGAAAATGGGCTTGTTTTTATGTCTTGACATATACCCAGTGTAGTGAAGTTCAAGGAATAGTTGAACATTTTGAGAAATATGCTTATTTGTTTTCTTTCTGAGGGTTAGATGAGAAGATTGATACCACTCGTGTGTGTGTGTGTGTGTGTGTGTGTGTGTGTGTGTGTGTGTTAAACACATTGCAGAAGCTAGGCGCAAGTAGCCTAGCTTAGCATAAAGACTGGAAGTAGGGGGAAACAGCTAGCATGGCTAGCCAAAGTTCAAAAATACACCTATCAACTCCTCTGAAGCCCACTACCAAAATGCATCTTATTTATTTAAACCGTACACCACCAGAAATGTACAATTAGTCAATTAGGGGTTTTGGGGGGCTGTTAGATGCTACCTATTTTGTGACAAACAACACTGTATCAGTCCGCCCAGCACTTCTGTGCAGCATCTCCAGCTAGGTACGGGTTGCTACATAGGGTCAGTGAAGACAGCTTTTAGTATAGAGCTCTCTACAAGCACAATGGTTTCAAACCTGGAAACATCACTGTGACAACAGGACTCCAGGAAGCTGTGCACAGTCAATACGCCCAGCAGATGTTCAGCACATAACAAAAGACCACAAATTGTCATTCTTACATTTCTTTTTGTGTTGGAATAAACAAACAAGAAACAACATATTAAGTAATCAGTCCCTCCAGGAAGCTTTAATGTTAAATTAGCGCAAATTCAACCAAAGTGAATTCTGCGTGACCTTGCGCAAACATAGCATTCCCTGGCACAAAACATTAAGCCATACATCATCAAACTCACTTGTTTCCAGCCTGACCAGCTTCCAGCTTTGTGACAATGCATTTTTCCAGCTAATCCAAGGCTTTTGTAATAGTTTATTCAGTTTAATTTTTCTGCTTTGTGGACTATTGAACTATTCCTTTCAATGGCAAAAGAAAAAAAGTAAACAATAAATCAGATGACAAATGTTTATATGTTCTTTTAATTTCACCTTTTTTAACAACACACTTATGATACAGAATGAATATTAGCACAGAAACAGACAAATTTTGCTAATCATCATAGAATAAACAGTTGGTTTGACGAGAATCATCGGAGGACAACTTTTTTTTTTCCACTATCGCTTTTCTGCCAGATGTTTCGCAATGAAAAAGCTGTTGGGGGGCGAGGAAACAACATACATACATTAAAAACACAAGCTTGAGTCTTAAATGCTTTGAAGGTTTCGTAAATGCTCTGAGTCAAGCTTGAAACACTAGATCCTTCTCTGATGAGCCTGTTCTGATCTTCAGACTGGGTGCTGTGTTGAGAGTTAAAAGAGGTCACCTTGTAATGGATTAATCACAGAATAAATTAAAAATATAATGTGGTGAAAAATGTTATGAGCTGACAACTGATACAAGAATCTACAGTGTTAGAATGGCATCTTGATTGCACATGCAGTTTTGGTCGAATAAACAACATGATGGGGAACAAATAAACAATTTTGTTGTTTATCAAATGTCATTTTGTCTTCTTTTAAAGTGTTTAATCATGAGAAAAGCATCACACCTAAAGCTTATCTTAACAGCGTGAATGTTGTGTGTTTGATAGTCTTCTAAAGAGCAACAAAAATAATCTCTTCAGTTAATCACATTTCAGTACTGGATTTTTTTCTTTTTCCTTATGGGGAACAATGACAGACAGGTGAATTAATTTGCGAGATCAGGTGCTTTGAACTGAATCTTTTAGTCATCAAACTATTTTGTTGTATTTTCGCACACGTAAAAACAAACTTACACCAAGTCCCTTTTATATTTGGTCACACTGCCATTCAAAATCAATCAAAGTGCTATTAATATCTTTCGAGATCCTGTAGCTTGGCGTTTTATATAACACCAATCCAAGCAATCTCACTGAAGGAGTCCGAAGCTCATCATGGCCAGTTGAATGTCCTACCAGTAATCTGGTAAAACTTCTGATTGAAGGGGTGAAAGAACTTCTGCAGTTTAGTCACCACCGACGGGTCCACCTCTGGATGGATGCGGCCCTTGCTGCCTGCGAGGCACTTGTTGAAGACAATGTTAAATCGCAGACAGTAGAATCCCCTGGTGGCATTGAAGTACAGGTTATACTGGCTGATCCTGGAAGGAAGGTTGAGGAATCGCTCGACGAGCTGCAACTCAGGCAGAGGGTCCGTGATGAGACGGTCCCCGTCCACGATGTGGAACTGCTCCACCGGAAAGTACTTCAGCCAGCGCTCCAGGTGTTTGGTGTAGATGCTGGTCCGCACCGCCTTGTACTTTGTGTTAACCTCGCAAGTGTTGGTGTCGATGGCAAGGTTTTCAAACTTGTGGTAGGTCTTGTTCTTGCGCTCCTTGCCCTCCAGCACTTGCGTGTAGTCGGACACAGCTCTGGTGGTGGGCTCACGGACGATGATAAGCAGCTTGATGGAGGAGTTCATCTTGAAGATGCGTTCAGGGACCTCCTCTGTGATGAAGTAGGCGGGGCTCTTCTCAATGGTGATCTGATGAGGGAAGGAGAAGGGCATTTTCTCCCTGTACCAGTCGATGCCCCGGGCATAGTTTTGGTCATTGTCAAAGAAGTGGATCTCCTGCGAGGCCTTGACCACTGCTGGATGCAAGTTGAGCATCTCCAGCAGGGCGCGGGTGCCCCCTTTTCGCACCCCAATGATGATGGCCCGAGGCAGCTGTTGGACCAAGTTGTGCAGGCGGATTTGCTCTTTGGTGGCATTGCCCTTGCGTAGTTCATGGAGCAGGCCACGCTTAAACTGCAGGGTGCGGAGAGGGATCTGCTCTGGCTCAGGAAGGGGCAGTCTGCTCTCAATGGGGCAAATGGGCTGTAGCCTGAAAGAGAAAAAAGCAAAAAAGTCTCAGCATTATTATTACCAGCATCCTTAACTTCATGTCAAAGGTAACTTTTATAAAAATAAGTTTTTGTCATATTTGCCGAAACTTTCACTATATCCTGACAGTAGAACATGAGACAGATAATCTATGAAAAAATCTGAGTTCCTCTGGCTCCTCCTAGTGCTCCTAATGGCATTTACAAGGATCTACCAGGCCTGAATGAAAATAACCAATCAGAGCTGAGAAAGATAGTTGATTATTGAGTGTTGCCAGAGCGTCCAATTTTGGACCCTGGGAATGAGACTTAACAATTAACTATCATTCTACAGAAAGAAGTGTACATGCCGTGGGCACTACTTTTTTGTTGTATTGTAGTATTCTTGAGGCCACTATATAGTGAATAAATACTGTGTGCTGTGTAAATATAATGCACTTTATTGTAAATAACCAAAAATAATCATTACTACTATACATTTACCCTAAACTAAGAGAAAATATACAGCATGTCAACCGAAACCCCAACAAACTGAACTAATCAAATCCAAATGGTGGATTTTCTGTTCTAATTAGCTAAAAATACAATGGAATGAAAAAATAGGCCATCACAAAAAATTTATTCCAAACAACCTGCTGTTTCTCCTACAGGGACATTCTTCCCCTAAGCTGAAAGCATTTCTCATGTTATGCGCAGTACAAATCCTGCCTCATTCCGGAGAACTCACAAAACCTATTTCAAGCACTACCTGACAGGCTTAGTTTAGGGCAAAAAACATCTGAGCACCTGTGGCTGCAAAAACTCAGTCCTCAGTTCTTGTATGAAAATAGAACATTAAACAACTTAGTAGATAATTGCCAACTCTGATTTAATACATTAACTAAAACTGTGTTATATTAATCAGTAATACAGTGTGAATTTTAAACATTAAGATATGCAAGATTTTTACATAAGGCACACACTACAGGCAAAAACATGGTCAATTTTGAGATTTTGGGATATTTCTTCTTAAACATGTCTACTATCAGACTAGTGAAAAACAAAACAACAGATTAAGTGTTAGATTTTACTACACTGTTTGAGTCTGTAGATTTCACCAAAAGTTAGTATTAGATAATTCCTTATTTCCATATTTAAACATAAAATCTAAGAAAACTTGTAAATCAAAAAATAATTGTCTTAATGTAAGTAATCAACTCTGACAGTTACATGCTGATATCTACAATTACAATTTTCACCCTATTCACCTGTTGTGAATCTTACAGTACAAATCTTTGAAGGCTTTTTTCTCAAACTCTGAGCCAGAAAGCTCTTAGATACACCAAACCTTCCAGTTTTATTCCTATCTATATTCTGAAGGTTTTTACAGAGAGGTTTGTTCATGTATCATTCATAGTCAGATTTATAGCAGACTTAATTTATTTTCATTCAGATTTAATTCATAAAACAAACAAAACAAAAATGGAGTTTGTATGGCTGTCGACAGTATTTGAGTATGAGAGATAACAGAAACAGATGAAAGATACTCTAATATGTCCAGAAGAAAGAATGTTGAACCTGGCTTTATGCAATGTTCAGGTTTCTGTTCTGGAATATATGCAAATAGTGCATTTTTCTGTCTCATTTGTATATTTAAACATAGAATTTCAATAAAAAAAACCCTAATACAAAAATGTAAGCATGTAAGTAATCAGCTGGGGAAGTTTGATGTTGACAAGTGAGTTACTTTAAATAAAAGTAAAGTGACAGTGATGACTCACCTATCCAAGGTCCCAACCCTGGCCACAAGATAGAGGACACTTCCGATAGCGAGGCTGCCCAGAACGAAGAGCTTCTGTCTCAGCAATGCCTGCTGTTTGAATAGCATGGCCCTCCATCAATCTTCAGGACTGCGTCTTCAGCCTGCAGAGAGCAGAGCACATAAACCACTAATCACCGGGGGAAGGGAGACAGCCTAATGTTTATTAACACACACTCAATCAAGTCTTACAAGTGATTAAGCCACACTCACACACGCCTGAAAAGTGCTGCAGTGCCATTAGAGAAAACGCTCACCCGCCGACCACCACTTTGTTACGTTTATTTATTTATTTCTGCCAAGGCGAGGATCAGATTTAATCTAATGTATGGCCGTGCTGTGAGGGCCCAGCTTCCTGACAGGAATGTGAATATGAAGTATAGCTGCAAAATAGCGTTTTAGTCTGAAAAAATAATTGACTGTTGGTCAATAATCCAACTCTGTGTGTGCCAGTTGGAAGTTCTTGCACAAGTTATAGCTGATCAATATTTCTACATTAAGAATGGATCAATGCTTATTCTGAAAGGGGTCACTCAGGTGACAAACCCACAGAGAATTATCACTCAATTCTGCAGAACTCTCCTACAGTTTTTTGCCATTTCAAGCTCATTGTTTTGGTTTTACTGCCAGTAACTTTTATAGTGTCATCACTCTCGGCAGCCTTGTTTCCTGCTCTGATAAACCCACTGTACACGGCCTGCCCAGCACCAGAGATGGCAACTAGCTGATGGACACAGTGGAGCATTTAGCAGCTAATGACACACAGGAGTTGGTGGAACTGTGTTGTTCAGGTGGCCAGAGATAGGACTCTGCTGGATTTGTATGTTATGTGCTGCCCCCAAATTGCCAAAAACATTAATTCAGCTTTAAAATGAAAGAACTGACATTTAAAGCAGCAACAAGCTACTTTTTTTTTTTATGTAGGTCATACAGAGACATCGGTTTAAACTGAGACTTTTATTAGGTTTAAATGACGTTAAATTTAGTGTGCAGTGGAAGTAAACTAAACTAATGTAATTATAAATATAATAATATATCAGTATAGTGTAATATCCGTATACTATGAGACTTAAATACTAACGCAGTTTCCTATTTACATCCAGCAGATGCAGAGCAACATCAGTATTATATTAAAGTCTGATAAATGTAAGACTGTGTTTTGATCTTCGCCACCTCCTGAGAAAAATGTCTGGCTCTTCAGCTGCTAAATCCTCCACTATGTTTACCAGCTAGTCACTAACTTTGTCTCTCTGTCATTAAGTGCTGGGCAAGTAGTGTCCAGTATGGTTACCATATATATATTTTATTTTTAAAAATGGACGTAGTCTCCGTGACATCCCCAATAGGTTTCTGAAGAGCCGTTGTGAAGCTCAGTGTGGTCGGCTCTGGCTATTGCCATCTTGACAGTCCTGACTCTGGCTACCGGCTAAACCAAGAATGGGCAAAGAGATGGAGCGTGGGAGGCCTGGTGGAGCTCTGATCGCTGAAAACATAATATAATATAATAAAATTTAAATGAACTAATTATTTAAAAAATTATCTCCCGAACTGACAGGTTTCAGAGACAGAAAACTGCTTTTTGGACCAGGCTATAAACATTTTTCTTTTTTACTGTCAAGTTTGGCATTTTAACGTGGGGCCTTATGAAGATTGACTAGATCTGGAGCCAGCTTCAAATGGCCATTAGAGGAACTGCAGTTTTTGGCACTTCTGCATTAGCTTCATTTGGCAGCCATGGAGGTTGAAGCTTGGTTTAGCACTGTACAGTACTTGCTGCTAGCTTTTTTAATGAAAATAGCTGCCTGTTGCTGCTGGAAACCACGCTGATGAGAGCGTAGAAAATTCTCTGTGGGTTTGTCACTATGAGCATCACGTTTCATATTACACATAGTTATTTGATCTATTGTTAATATAAAATATTGATTAGTGCAGCTTTAATGTTACAGAAAGATTATACTTCATATTTTAGCAGTGGAAGTGAACTCCAAATGAGGCAGAATCACGATCTCAAGAGGAAAATGCTAAACTTTGTGCAAAAAAATGGATGTAAAATAACAAGCAGTTCTCAGAGGATTGACAGTATCTAAACTTATTCTTTTTCAACCCCATCTTATAATTCATATTGGACCCAGCATTTTGTTTTTTTCTTCTTGACCTCAATGAAAAGATGAACCTCAAAATATCCATCTCTAAAAATCTTCAGACAACAGGAACAGGTACAGAGAAGGATATATATATATATATATATATATAGATAATAGTCACATTATGTTGATGCTTAGGCTCTTATGACCTTCAAAGAAAAGTTAATGTCTTCATCCAAGAGAGGGCACTACATCCATTCAGACCGACTGAGCACAGAAATGTTTATCTCACAGTAATTAAAGAAAAGAGTTTCTTCAGTTTTTTTGCAGATCGATAGCTGGGCCTTTCCTGCATCTGCAAGCTTATCACAGTGTGACTAAATCACATTATGGAATAACGGATCCATACAGAAGTCGTAGCACTATTACAGAAGGGCCAACTGCACTCTAATCCAGCCTTAAAACGGCCTACCATTACCAATAGAGCAGATCCTCAAGAGCATCTCATAAACAACTAGAGAGCTTTTGACCCCAGTGTGACTGGAAAACATTTCACTCATATTGCCTTGTGGTGACTTCCGAAGGGAGACCAGCAGAGCAATTTCAATTTCATCAGTCTGACAAAGCAGAAGAATAAAGTCAGTTAGCCAGGGGCCAGCCCTGTGTTTGTGGAGACCCATTTAGAAAAAGAAATGTTTTTCATTACAGCCTGTATCTCTCAAACATGCAGGAGCAATAAAATCAATTGTTTCCAAAAAACTGTTCAATGTTTTTTTAACGGAAAGACACACCATATAATCTGACCATATAATAATAATAATACCCCTACTTTTAGAGTGTGCCATTTGTTTGAAAACCTTCAAAACAGGAACTGAATCACAGTAAAACATTAGACATAAATAAAGATTATATTTGGGTCCAATGTTAGCTCACTTTTATTTATTTATTTTTCTTACTGATCTAATTTTACCTGGTATATGGTGGCTAATGCTAGCTAAACTTAGCAAATGTTAATGTGATGCTATACATATTGCAGACATGTGTACTGTAGGGTTTCCACCCATTCCGTATAATATGGGACGATAGTCCCGTATTGAAAAATAAAATGAAAAAGTATAACCATAGTTTCCTAGCCAATCTAACACTGTACGTATGCAGGAACTTAAAGGAACTTTAATATTAATTAAAGTCATTTTCTATTATATTTGTTAATAATAAAAATCCTTCTAAATGGTACACACTGGACCTTTATGTAAAACTATTTATATTCCTTTAAACAATTTTGTTATTGGTATTGATTAAGTATCTATATATATTGCTATTGTTTTATTGCCCAGGCCTATGTCTTAGTGACTTTTAGTGCATTTTAGGTTAGACTGCCAAAACATTCGCTTTAATATTCTAGTCCACAACAGAGATCACCCTCCTCTGTCATTTTTTTCATTTTCTCTCATCTCAGCTCCTGACCTCTACACGTCTCAGATGAACCTGCTTCCCTCTACGTTTACTACACGCAAAACAGGGACGAAATGAAAAGCAGGTAGCTTGGCTTTTTTTCCCTGCACATAGTTTTGACTGACATGTGTCATGACGGGTGATCAATCATATATGAGCTCACAGCCTTGTGGGCTAATGGGCTGAGAACGAGCAAAGCAGAAATGCTTAGAACAAAACACTAAGCGATTAGAGAAATGCTGACTGGCCTTTTTGTGTGTAATTAAAACACTGAAAAGCATTGCTGTTTACAGGCCTGATAACAACTATAATTAGTTTCCAAATACTGGAACGTGGAATATATCAGCTTGATAAAAAAGTGGCTATTTGCGGTGACACAGCACAAAAACCTGTTTAGTTATTAAGGCACTTGCTGTGCTGTGCTAATACTTTCCACTGCTCTGTTCTCATTGTTAGAGGAGCACATGAGGGCACTGGTAAAAATAGACAACTGCAGCTGAGCTCTCATTAGATTCCTTCCTATTCTGTTAATTCATTGTATTACTGAAAACACTATTGTTAGAATAGCAAAGAGGACCAGCAGTCCCTTTAGAATAAAAGGTCTCCAGTATCCCACACACATACACTGTATAGTGTGGGGGGCCTGGGGACTGTTATGAGGACAACAGCAGCAACAGCTCGATGGTGTGACAGGAAAACCTTCGTGGGGACTCACTATGCGCCCATATCTGGTGAGTCAGATCAATGCCATTTTCCACACTTCACATAACTCACTGAGGCTTTGCTGTTACTTTCTCCCCTAACAGTGGGATGCTGCTTTTTTAATGTTAGCAGCAGTGTGAAATATGCAGACAGATGGACAGGGACACTAGAAATCTAAAGGACCCTTTCTGTGTAAGTAATAATGTCCAATGCATAAAACCATTTCTAATAATGACTTTTTATTTTATTTTTGTATTCATCTTTACAAGCTATAACTATCAAAGGACACCTCCATTATTATGTGTTGCACCTACACTGCTTGGATCACTCTCATTATACCACCAGGCTATGTAACCAGGCTCAGCAACTTGGGAAAAATAAAAGGCTGCAGACAGACGGCGAGCTGGACTTCCTGCTGTTGGACTGTAAGTAATATTAGCATGCTAGCATGTTGCGTGGTATTGCCCCCTCAAAGGGATCTCTTGATCTCTGACCTCACCTTTGCAGACATACCCACATATGCTAATCCAATGCAGTTTTGGGCAAAAACCATGTAGTTCTTTTAGCCAAGTGTATTTGTATTTCTGCATACTGGGGTCCCAGTAAAAAATATTGTAATTGTATTAATTGGGAATGACTGAAAAGCTGTGATATGTATTTCATGCCAGCCCTGAATAAGGTAGTGCCACCCCAGTCAAAAAAGTCTGGAAACGCCCCTGTTATGTAGGTCATATAGAGGCATCAGTATTAAATCAAGACTGTTTCATAACCACTAAAACCTTGCAATACGTTTAAATATGAAACTTTATTATAGACTATGTTTAAATCATTATAGACTACCCAACAGTAAAGTAGTAGCACAG